CGGCGCTGACTCGTTCGTCTGCGAATGCACCCAACTTTGACATTGGTATGTTTATTGCTCTAATTTCTTGCAGAAAAAGAGCTACGTCTTGAAATTTCACATGGTAAAACTGACCTGATTAGTGCATGTTCGGTGAAACTTTCGCGCTTTCTATGTGCAGGCGTCTATTTTTCCGGCTCGTCTGATAGCGGACGATTCGCTCGTGCAGAGGTTAACTCCTGTAGCTCGTAGCGTTCATCGCGGCACAGCACAAGGTGAAACAGAGCACAGTGAGTGAAAATATATTTATGAAAGGTATAACGGAACAGTGCACTTGTCATCGGACATTAGCAACACGGAGGTGATTATAAACATCGTTCTAACCAGCCGGAAACGGCTGGAACTCAAGTTCTCACCGACAGCCCAGCGCCAAAGCGGAACTCGTCTCCGCACCCCGCGTCGGCCTCCGTCAAAAGTGGCGTCGAAACTCCAACGCTACGGACTGGCGTTGGCTAAGTCGGCCATCTCTCCCTCCGTCCCAGGCCACGGCACCAGCTTGGAGGAAGGCCGCGGCGGGTCGTCGCTCGATTCCGGCGGCGGAGGCGGCGGCGGCGGCGGCGGCGGCGGCGGCGGCGGGGCTGGTGGCGGTGCCGGCCACCTCCCGTCCGGGATGTATGGGGGAGCACCCGGGTCGGGCGGCCCCCGGCCGGGGCCCAACGGCAGCAACAACAACAATGGCTCGTCGGCCGGTGGCGGGGCCAGTCCGTCGTCCCAGCAGCAGGGCTCCATGCTGGTCGTGCCCCAGCCGCTCAAGGGACCCCCTTCCAACGGCACCGTTTCCCAGCACCACGGCCCGCCCAGCTCCGTGCGAAAGTACCAGTGCAAGATGTGTCCCCAGGTCAGTGCATTTCGCCAACGCGCCGTTTACAAACTCCGTTCGTGCCCGCACTAGATGGGGGGCACTGCGCGTGTGCAGTAGCCAGATACTGGCGAAGCTTTTACGCATGCACCGCTCTGACAGCAACGACACCGCTGCGGCATGACGTCGGATTGCGTGTTGTGTCGAGACAACCTATACTCCGTTTCACCTTCAGTCCGAGCGCAGTGGACGCCACGAGCCATCCCAGCCGATCCAGCGCAGGGAGAAAGTCGCGTGACCTGCCGGTGAGGCGGGGCGACACAGGGAGCTCAAGGTCGCATGACACTCCCTCAACGCCGCATTGGCTGGGATGGCTCCTAGCGTCCGCTGCGCTCGGACGGAAGGTGAAGACAAAGCCCTGCGCAAAGGTCATCACTATAGTAAATTACAGCTCGAGAAGGTAGGGCGAGGGAAAGGAAGGCCGGGGAGGAGAAAGCAGACGGAGCGCTAGACGGGAGAGCGGGAAACCTCCTCCCTCTCTACAGCGTTCTGTCTGCTTCCTCCTCCCCGACCTTCCTTTCCCTCGCATTGCGGTTGCAATGGACTACAGTGAATCCACGCAGCGCCACCTGGTTAGCGTCAGCGACGCTGCCAGCACTTCTTGCAGGGTCTCACGCCGAGAGCAGCGATAGTACGCGGCAGCGCCACACGGACGTGTCTGCCGCTTTTTGCGCCGTGCTCTGGTCGAGAGCTTCAACGTCTTTGCCGCTTCGAGCGGATCGGGGATTTGCAAATGATATAACGTCTACCAGGGATGGCAATCCGCGTCCCGCGAGGCAATTTTGTGCGGCCCCGGCACGACACCAGAGCACCCCGTTTCTTTCTCTTGCGCTACCTCACACAGACTCAAGTCTTCACTTCCTTTTAACGTATTCACTTCCTTGTAACCCCTTCTTCGCCCCCCCCCCCCCCCCCCCCCCCCCCCTCTTTCGTTTTGCGACTTGCCATCCGGCCCCCTCCATGTGGGCTTCGTAACGACTCGGCCCGCCACTGCAAATGGTTGCCGACTCCTGTTGTGTTCATCTCGGCGTCTAACCCCGAGAAATCAAGCGGCGTCCACCCTATCAGCGATGTGACTCTGGTCTGAATCCAACACTACTGACTCCATTGCAAAGTAGAAAAAAAAGATTTATTTGATTTAAATGAGATTAATATGATTTAAGTTAAATTTAGATCATTTTGATCGTAATAATTTGATTTAGATCACAGTAGCGAGAAAATAGGGATTGTTTGCCACTAGATTTAGTTTTCAACGTGACAGATTGTTTGATCAATCCGTCCTATCACTGATAACAGTGAGAAAGAAACAATTACTGTAAATGTAAAGTACAGTTTACTTAAAAACGCTATTTTGCTGTTATACCCTCCATACTAGAACAAAACAGCTTCTTTTTTTACTCATTTTGATTT